ATATAGACAGGAATAAAAATGTAAAGTTTGGTGTGTGTAAGTGCTACTGAAGTGGAGATTTATGGCTCAATGTAGGAGAAAAAACTCATTTTGACAAAACGGCCTTTAAAAATATGTATTGTAATTGAAATCTATTGACACAAATAAAAAAGCATAAAAGTGCTATAAAAGAAATAATTAACAGTGTCTTTTGGATGCAGTGTCTTTTGGATGCTTTCTTTCCACTAGTCTGAAAAAACACTTTATGAAAAACCAAAAAGCCCAAAATCTCAAACTTGACAGGTGCATGAAAAAACAATTTTTGCCTGCAGTGTCTCCCCTTAAAATAAATATTTTCTATTTTAATATACTTTAAACTATAAATGATTTCTAAAATGTTTAATATTTTTTAAAATAAGCCTCTCATGCTCACCAAGGCTGCATTTATTTGATCAAAAATACAGTGAAAACAAATACTGTGAAATATTTACTTTAAATATTACTTTAAAATATAATTTATTCCTGTGGTGGCAAAGCTGAATTTTTCAGCATCATATTACAAATCTTATTGATCCCAAACATTTGAATGATAGTAAGTGTGTGTTTGTTTATGTATACACAGAGAGAGAGAGAGAGAGAGAGAGAGAGAGAGAGACATTCTGTCTGTGTGTTCTCACATGTCTGAATGAAGTGTGAGGGGCGGCAGTGGCTCCAGTCTCTTCAAGGTACTCCTCCCAGTTAAAATCCACCTCCTCCTCTACACAATCCATGCCTGCTAGGAAAGAGAGACAGAGTAAGAAAGTGTGTGTGTGCATGTTAAGAGGGGCAACCACAGCTGCCGTTTTTTTTACCGTAAATTTTACGGATTTTTTTTTACAGTGTATATGATATATATTTATAAATAAATATATAAATAATATAATATATATAAGTAAATAGATATATGGAACATATTCTGTGCAATGCAAATGTTTCAAACTAGCTCAATTCCATGTGTCATTGTGTTCCGAAATGTGTCCCAATGCTATTCTTATCTCAAGTATGTGTTGCGTTTTCACTATAGCCAAAAGGTGCTCTATAATGATTGAACTGTTTTCTTCTATGGTCAGTTAAATCAAATTCCTCACTAAATCAAATTCCGCCCAACATTTTTCTCATTGAATATCTTGTTTCACACAAAAATGTGATGCTAGTTAAAATAATTTGCTTTGTTGTTTGTTATTCTCATCTGTGCGCATATAGTTTGTTTCTGGCCTTAAAGCAAACGAGCTGCAAACGACTGTCACTAATCTTACAAGATTGTAGGATAACCAAATGCAGTGACGCGTTTTGATGAGCAAATGCAAGAAGTATTCGTAAACTCACAAGGGTGACAAGCGCCTGCATTCCCATCACTCCCACATCTCTCTCTTCTGCTAGCTTGACCAAAGACCTAGTCTAATAACATTACTATAATAATAAATACACCAAAGATTTCTGGTTTTACATAGATTTTTTTTAACGATTCACTAAGAAAAAAATAAATGTGTGGGAGAGTCTAGTGTGTTTTCCTAATGCTGAGCACAGCTGAAGGCTTGTTCATTAAAAAAAATCTATATATACATTTATATAAAACCAAGGACAAGTTGGGGAGAACTTCCATATTTGTATTACTTTTCTAAGCGTTCAACAATTTTTGCACAATTTAACACACATCCATTCATAATATTTCACCATGCTAGCTAAGACTATAGGTGACAATGTTAGAGAGCAGTGAAGCGCATCTAGAGTATCAAGATGAATGATTATACAGAGCAGTTAAACATAAATAAATGTGAAGAATGGTACACTAAGATTAAAATAAGGTTACAATCCTACAACATCTACTCTTGATTTTTTTTCCCCACAGTGTGAAAAAGGTGCGAATTTATCACAAGCTACACCTTGTTGCTCTCATCTTCAAATCGAAAACATTGTTTATTCACATCAGATCAATTATAGTATCTACTCTCCCTATGGTCTATAGAAATGCTGGATTGTTCACTAGGTTAACAGAGAGAATTTCGAACAAAAAGGCTGAGCAGACAAATAGACCATTTTACAGTCCTGCAGTAATTTCAGAGCATCTAAGCACTGTTGGTGTAAAGGTCCGTTCTGCTCTCCTGTTTTGGTTACGTCTACTTCCACTGCCTCTAAAACTAAACAGGAGTCGAGTAATGCTGTAACACTTTTAAGATGTTATTATTTCTTTGAATTCAGAAAGAAATGAAGACTAAACACTCGTTTTTGGTTTGCTTATGCTAGTATACACTTAAGACTAGTGAATCGTATATGTTCCTTCAATGCCCAATACACCATCCTTTAAAATAAAGCTTCCATTTGGGACTAATAAAGGTTTTGTGATGCCAACATTTTTTTAATTTTTAATCTCTAGTTCTTCAGAAAACCATCTATACTGGTGCTTTAAAGAAGCCAGAAACCATTATGCTAATATGAATAATTTTTCCATTTTCCATCATTCCTTCCTTTATTTCCATTCATTTCATTCCTCACAACTCAAGAACACTATACAAGCAAACTGATTCTTCATAAGAAAAATGTTATTTGAAGGTACTGCAAAGAATCATTAAGAAACCGTTTTTTTTTTTAGAGTGAAGAGCTATAAATAATGCATACATTGTGACACTAAAGTATTTTTCTTCTATTGAAGTCCTGGTTTCAGATGGAACTAAGAATGAGAAGTGCACTTTAACACTGAAACCACTTCCTTGCAAATGACTCACACAATATATGCCATGATGACAGTGTAGCGTGTGCTCTATAATGATTGAACTGTTTTCTTCTATGGTCAGTTAAATCAAATTCCTCACTAAATCAAATTCCGCCCAACATTTTGCTCATTGAATATCTTGTTTCACACAAAAATGTGATGCTAGTTAAAATAATTTGCTTTGTTGTTTGTTATTCTCATCTGCGCGCATATAGTTTGTTTCTGGCCTTAAAGCAAACGAGCTGCAAACGACTGTCACTAATCTTACAAGATTGTAGGATAACCAAATGCAGTGACGCGTTTTGATGAGCAAATGCAAGAAGTATTCGTAAACTCACAAGGGTGACAAGCGCCTGCATTCCCATCACTCACACATCTCTCTCTTCTGCTAGCTTGACCAAAGACCTAGTCTAATAACATTACTATAATAATAAATACAAAAAAGATTTCTGGTTTTACATAGATTTTTTTTAACGATTCACTAAGAAAAAAATAAATGTGTGGGAGAGTCTAGTGTGTTTTCCTAATGCTGAGCACAGCTGAAGGCTTGTTCATTAAAAAAAATCTATATATACATTTATATAAAACCAAGGACAAGTTGGGGAGAACTTCCATATTTGTATTACTTTTCTAAGCGTTCAACAATTTTTGCACAATTTAACACACATCCATTCATAATATTTCACCATGCTAGCTAAGACTATAGGTGACAATGTTAGAGAGCAGTGAAGCGCATCTAGAGTATCAAGATGAATGATTATACAGAGCAGTTAAACATAAATAAATGTGAAGAATGGTACACTAAGATTAAAATAAGGTTACAATCCTACAACATCTACTCTTGATTTTTTTTCCCCACAGTGTGAAAAAGGTGCGAATTTATCACAAGCTACACCTTGTTGCTCTCATCTTCAAATCGAAAACATTGTTTATTCACATCAGATCAAGTATAGTATCTACTCTCCCTATGGTCTATAGAAATGCTGGATTGTTCACTAGGTTAACAGAGAGAATTTCGAACAAAAAGGCTGAGCAGACAAATAGACCATTTTACAGTCCTGCAGTAATTTCAGAGCATCTAAGCACTGTTGGTGTAAAGGTCCGTTCTGCTCTCCTGTTTTGGTTACGTCTACTTCCACTGCCTCTAAAACTAAACAGGAGTCGAGTAATGCTGTAACACTTTTAAGATGTTATTATTTCTTTGAATTCAGAAAGAAATGAAGACTAAACACTCGTTTTTGGTTTGCTTATGCTAGTATACACTTAAGACTAGTGAATCGTATATGTTCCTTCAATGCCCAATACACCATCCTTTAAAATAAAGCTTCCATTTGGGACTAATAAAGGTTTTGTGATGCCAACATTTTTTTTATTTTTAATCTCTAGTTCTTCAGAAAACCATCTATACTGGTGCTTTAAAGAAGCCAGAAACCATTATGCTAATATGAATAATTTTTCCATTTTCCATCATTCCTTCCTTTATTTCCATTCATTTCATTCCTCACAACTCAAGAACACTATACAAGCAAACTGATTCTTCATAAGAAAAATGTTATTTGAAGGTACTGCAAAGAATCATTAAGAAACCTTTTTTTTTTTTTAGAGTGAAGAGCTATAAATAATGCATACATTGTGACACTAAAGTATTTTTCTTCTATTGAAGTCCTGGTTTCAGATGGAACTAAGAATGAGAAGTGCACTTTAACACTGAAACCACTTCCTTGCAAATGACTCACACAATATATGCCATGATGACAGTGTAGCGTTATGTGTGTGTGTGTGTGTGTGTGTGTGTGTGTGTGTGTGTGTGCACACGCACTTGTTGTGTGTTATAAACACTGCAGAGCAATTACACAGAAAAATATTATGGTTCTGTCACTCCTTTGGCAGATATTTCTGGTGGTGTTCCACACTAACCAAGTCGAGAAAGACGAGAATCGAAATTGACATGACAAGGATTCACTGTGACTTTACAGTATGTGGGCTTTAAATGAGGAAAAGGTGTTCTATGGGAATTTGCATCCGAATTGCTGTCAGACAGAAATGTGATCCATTTCTCATAAACTTTTTTCTACTAAGAAAAAAATCACTAAAATAATACTATTGACCATTACAAAACAAATCCTTTTAGTGTAAAAATCAACGAGGTTAGTTTTTGTTGGCAATATTTGTTCAAATGAGTAATGTTCGAATGACAAACTAATATTTCATACTCATTGCTGCTGTCATTTGGATGTCTTGATTGTGGGTTCGTTGTGGTTCAGCCAATGCAGTTGGGCCTGTGGGTGGAGAGGGTGAACGTGATTTCACCAAGTACAACATGTTCCTGGAACAACATTCCAATCAACCAATCAGAACTGAGGGATACATTTTCAGGAAATGTCAGTTTTAGGCTTACAATCAGGGTTAGGTGCTTCTACACCCTTGTTATTCACCTATCATGTCCCTCTGATTTTAGGAATAAATTATGGGTAGGGTTAGGTTTAGGGGTAGGGATTTGGTTAGGTCTATATTTTTGGACAGTAATGTTGATCCAGGATCAACAAAAGATGTTGATCCAGGAACATGTCTTACTTGGCAAAATCACGGCGACTGGGTGGAGAGACACCTCCAGACTGAAGATGTGGGATTAAAGTGAATTATCAAGCCTAATCTATGATGTGGGCTGGTTCAGAGTAAATCCAGATTTTAGGCAGGCCGTACTATCGATTAGCTCATATTGAGCCAGATGCCCTCTCTCGCTCTAATCCAGGACTTGTTCAATTGTGGAAGGGGAATTAAAGGATTATCGGAGCACAATGTAGCATTGCTTTTCTTATTAAAATAAATGGCTCTGGCCTTTTTCAGTCTGAGACACATTTAATAATCCATTTTAATCACCCAAGTTGGAGAGAGGAATTGTTAAGGCTAGCTGTGTGTTCATCTGTCTAATGTTTAGTTTAGGAGGTTGTAATACATTTATTTAGTCAGTTGATCCTGATGACAATACAATGAAAAAAAAAGAAAAGCACAGCACACAAAGTGTTTTTTGCTTGTTTGTTTGTTTGTTTGTTTTTTTTCTCCATGATTTGACTATTTGCCTTATTTGCCTAATGTTTTCCAGGAAAGTCCATATATCAGGATTATAGGAAAATGCTTATGGCAAGAGTCCTGGAATAGCTCCATTGAAAAAATATTTTGAACCAACAGAGAAGCCAATAAATTCAAGTATTCAATTATACATTAGGACTTCAATACTGGTAATGAGTAAAAAAAAAAAAAAAAGAGCTTTGAAAAATCACCACATAACTGTGGAGTGCCAACGACAACAGTACAAGTAAAAGCAGCAAACAATAAAACAATAAATAATCTGTATAATGAATTAGACTACCACTGACTAAATTTGGCCACGTTATGCGGGCAAACTTGCTAGAGAAGTCAGTAATGTGGGGAATGGTCAATCAGAAGAACGGGAGGGCCAGGGGCGTGGCTACTGCGGGGAAAAGGGGGACAGAGTGCATAGGGCAGAGG